GTCTCTAACATCCACCAGCTCCATGACATCGTCATGGAGAAGTGGAAGAGGACTCCAGTGGCAACCTGTGAAGCTCGGGTGAATTCTATGCCCAAGAAGATTAAGGAAGTGCTGGAAAATAATGGTGGCCACACAAAATATGGACACTTTGGGCCCCATTTGGATATTATCACTTAGGGGTGTACTCACTTTTGTTGCCAGAAGTTGAGACATTAATGGCTGTGTGTTGCATTACTTTTAGGGGACAGCACATTTACACCGGTATACAAGCTGTAGATCCACTACCTTATATTGTAGCCAAGTGTCATTTCTTCAGTGTTGTCACATGAAAAGATATACTTAAATATTTACAAAATGTGAAGGGATGTACTGACTTCTGTGACATACTGTAGAGTATGTGCTAAGGTATTTGGTAGAAGTCTCTCCAAAAATCTATGGGACCTAACAACAAGCAATAATTTGGAAAATTCATTGAAACCTTATTCTATGGAGGGGATACGCTGATTAGATTTTTGTAGTCACTACTATTTGTGACAAATGTATGAATGTGAGAAAGAAAAAGGTTTGAAAGAGAAATATAGTATAGTTGAAAGTATATATTTGAAAGTTAGATATAAATGGTGAACAACGAGAGCAACTAGAAGGCTTAGTTATTGGACATCTTCAAGAACATCTACTCCAAATAGTATATTCCTGTTCAAAATGAGCCAATGGACAGTCATTCTGTGAGGCCCCATTCTTCAGAAGATATATCCAAGGAACCTTCTCGGTTATGTTTTTTGTGTTTTTATTTTATTTTATTTTTATGATTTCATTCAGATTGCATTTTTAGTGTGTTTTATTATAAACCAACCAGAGAGCATCAGTTTTTAGACTGTTTTTTTAACAAAAATAATACATTAAGTAAAATCGCTCTCTGAGTTGGACATTCCTCACTTTCCTAGAAGCATATGCTTTTCTGCTCATGAAAACTAATCTTTCTTTCACTAAAGTTTTAACATAATTACAAATAAGCCATCACCAAGGAGAGTTATCTACTTCAAAGAAAAGAGACATGTGAAAGAAACATACATTTTTAAAAATACAAGTAACAATACAATTTCAAAACCATTTACATAAAATATCAAGTAATTTTATTACCATTACCATATTAACTGTATCAACTACTATCCTATTTGTAATACATGAGTATGAATACCGGATCTATATATTTATTATAAATACAAAAATAAATTGAATATTGTTAAGAATGAAAGGGGGGAATGATAAAGAATAAAACAGGTATGTATCTAAAACAAACAAGAAAAACAAAACACCAGAGTAATAATACTTTAAAAACTGAATAATATCACCCTAACTTATATATCCAAATCCTAACTGGGTATATCTGAATTTATCAATTCTAACCAACAAAACAATACTTCTATATTGAAAAAAGAGAGGTTGACTAAATGATTTTTCATGCTTCTCAATGCCTTATGTTTACTACATACTATCCAGTGGTGAAATCTAAAATTTGTTACTACCGGTTCTGTGGGCGTGGCTTGGTGGTGGTGGTGGTAATGTGACTGGGTGGGCATGGCCAACTTTTTTTTTTTACTTTTTACTTTTAAAAGCATTTTTTCTACAACCTCTTCAGCCGAAGAGATTGTTAAAAAATGCTTTTAAAAGCCTCTGCCAATCAGGCAACTCAGCTGGGATCATCAAGAAGCTTTTAAAAGCGACTTCCGGTTGGCTCCGCAGACGTTCGTGGATGGTCTCCATAGACCGCCAGCCTCGCAATCTCGTAAAACCGCCCTGACAGTGCTAAACAGCTGTCCGGCGGTTTGAAAAAACTCTCCTTCGGAAAAAGAAGAAGAGGAGAGCCGGAGGGGGTGGGTAGAGCTCCCAGAAAGCTCCTGGAACAAAGCCAGGGGCTTGGAGGGTGAGAGCTCCCCAGTTTAGCCCTCCCAACGCTCCGGATCTATGGCGACTCTGCCCAGGCAGAGCTAGATGTCGCGTCCAATTCTGCCAGCGAAAAGTGAGTTGGATTGATTGTTAAAGAAGCAGACAGCGGAAGCAAGAGAGCAAGCATTTAGAAGTAACAAAGCTTAACTCCGTGTATACACTGTTACAAACGGAACTTTCTTGAGCTGGAGGCTGGAGAAGACGCCTTTGTTATGAGCGGAGTGGAAAGTGAAAGTTAGTCTGGATATTGAAAGTGGCTAACCTAGCTGAAATGGCTAAAATTTCAGCATATTTGAAGGACTATAACCAAGAAAAATATATACTGGAATGGAGAAAATGGATTGATTATATTCAAAATAAGTATCAGACTAAAAAATATCAAATAGCTTATGAGTAAATGTTTAACTCTAGTAGTATTATATCCTTGAAGTATTATATTAACTATGGTGGGGTTAAGTATTTTTTTTTAAGGGGGATATGACAGTTTAAAGGATAGTTAAGCAATTTAGTTTATTGTTAATTGTTAATTGAAATACCTTGCGTTTTGCTCTGGGAAGTCGGGGGGGAGGGGGGTTGGGTGGGAAAAGGGGGGGGGGGAAATTGTTGTTTTTGTAAAACTTTTCAATAAAAAAAAAGAGGCTTTTAAAAGCATTTTTTCTACAACCTCTTTGGCCGATCACGCTGAGCCGCGTGATCATCAGAGGTTTTTTTTAAAAAAAAAACTTTTAAAAGCAATTTTTCGGCCGAAGAGGTTGTAGAAAAAATGCTTTTAAAAATAATTTTTAAAAAGCCTCTGATGATCGTGTGGCTCAGCTGGGCATTGGGGGGGGGCAGGGATTTTTGCTACCAGTTCTCCGAACCACCCGTCGCCATCGCTACCGGATCGGGCGATCCGGTCCGAACCGGGAGCATTTCACCCGATACTATCTGTGATAACTTCACTAAGGCTGTGAAGTGGCTTATCGTTCCTTAAAATATAGCAAGCAATACAGGTAGTCCTTGACACAATTGAACCCAACATTTTGTTGTTAAGTGAGAAATTTGTTAAGTGAGTTTTGCCCCATTTTACAACCTTTCTTGCCACAGTTAGTGGAGTGAATCAGTGCAGTTGTTAAGTTAATAACCTGGTTCTTAAGTGGATCTGGCTTACTCATTGACTTTGCTTGACAGAAGATCGCAACAGATGATCACATGACTTTGGAACACCGCATAAGTATGAACCAGTTACCAAGCGTCTGAATTTTGAATACATGATCATGGGGATGCTACAAAGGTCATAAATGGGAAAAATGGTCATAAATCACTTTTGTCAGTGCCATTGTAACTTTGAAAAGTCACTAAATGAACTGTTGTAAGTCGAGGACTACCTGTACATGTTGCTTATCTATCTTTATATACAATCATAACAATTCTTCTCATTAAATAGCATTTCAAACACAAAAACCAGCCATTTCTACTTTTACAGACTCAGCAACAATCTGTCAAGTCTGGTCTTGTTTGTCATATGACGGATACTTTGCAAATCAGAGCCTGAAGCATTCTTACTATGACTATAAATGTTTGTTGCTGAAAAAGAAATGCAAATCCTTGTCAACTGGTTTCTAAATCTCAGCATGTTGCTGAAAATATTTTTTCATATCAGTCTCAGGCTGAGGGATGTGTCCATTAGTATCTGATAGTTATTTTCTAGGAATACTCAGGCAAAGTATTATTTAAAGGGAAAATACCTGTGACCTATCTATCCTCTGTATTGTTTTAGGATTTATGATGGAGGGGAGGGAGAAACCAGAAAATCCTGATATTGGCAGGATAGTCATAACAAACAAGCTAAGCTTTTGCTGAGGACAAGGAATTGCTCATACAAAATTAAAAATTGTATTTTGCTACCTAGCATAGTATTAGTAATCCAGAAAGAGACTAGGTACTAAAATAACAATGAGGCCAAAGCAAGATTTTGCTCAAGTGGTTTAAGAGTTATCTCTTTCCTATTTGACCTGGATTTGTTCTGAAATAAAGAGCTCTTTTATTATGCTTTTTTCTTTTTTCCTTAAAGATTCAAGGTAAGTATAATTTGGAATCAAGCTCAATTCTTGATGACTGAACTACATGTTTTCTTGACATATAAGGTAACACTTTTGCTTTCAACCACTTTTGGGAAGGTTTTTCCAGGTCCTACTTCAGCCAAAAGCCCTAATTCCCAGGAACTCTCTTTGAATACTAAAACTAACCCTGCACGGCTTCTGAGATCACAATTCGTATACATAGCTGCTAAAAACATCTATGTCCAGGCCAAACTTCAAACAAAAACAATGTATTGCTTTGTATTCATCAGTTTGAAAATACTGAGATATAAATTCTCCATTTCTTCACTGCTGGCAAGAAATGAATCTATTCAACAATATTTTATATAAATGTGCATATTATAGTTTCCTCAAAACAAACAAAAATACTCCATCAACCTCATGTGAAAATGAAATGAAAATATTTTAAGTACAGAAAAAAATATCCAGAAACTGGGAATTGAAGTTGATAGTATTTTCCAAACCTATTTTGCAATCACTATGTCTTACTATATAATTTATAGATTTTTCTACATTAACTGTTTTTTCATCTATGAAAACTGCAATATTTTAAATGGATCTTACAATGCAAATCCATGCATGTCTACAATAATAACCAAATTTTAAATGAACTTATTGCAAATGATCAACAGGACACTTATGATCAAACTGCTCATTTACATAATAATAAGCATATATGAATTGTTAGTTTGTTTATATAAATTTTAAAGAAAAGAGCCAGTTTGGTGTAGTTAAGATATTGATTTAGAAACCAGGCAATGGTGAGTTCTAGTCTATCTGAAGGCATGGAAAGCCTTAGGCTAAGAGAAAACCGTCTCTTAGCCTAACCCTATTCAGGGTGGTGGTGGTGGTTGTTGTTGTTGTTGTTGTTGATGTTGTTGTGAAAATAGGAAAAGGGAGAAGTATGCCTTGAGTTGTAAAAATAAAGGCAGAATATAAATCTAATAAATGAATTATGATATTTTTACTTACCTATAGTGTCTGGAAGATCTAAAAGTTCATTGTGCTGTAGATCAAGTTTGGTGATCTGTGTGCAATTGCCAATCTCCTTTGGAAGATGTTCAAGCTGATTGTGGGCTACATCCAGTGTTATGAGGTTACACAACTCACCTAACAATGAACAAAATCACATTGTTTGAGATTTTGTAGCAAAACGGGATAAAAGCTTTTTCATTATTTAAATAAATAAATTTAAGTGTTTAATATTGTCATTTCATCTGATAGATCACAAAGGATTATAGATAAGATTAAGAACACACAAACAATATAAAGACACACATCAAGTAATACCACTTTTTAACATTCTTGAATATTATTGCTTGCTTTTCACATCCCATTCCATTTTATGTTCTGCTTGCTCATTTTATTAGAATTAAATAAATAAAATAATTAGGAATTACTAGAATTTATTTTTAAAAATCCAATGCAGCAGAGGTTGTTGTTCAAACCGAAACACTTCAACTGAGTTTTAAGACTCTGTACTACAGAGAAATTTTGTAGGAAAAGACATGTTATTGTGTACTGGAGTTCCAAGATATATATCTCTCCATGGTTTCATAAATTCTTGTAATAATGAGGAAGTTGTGTACAAATAAATAAAATTAACATTTCTATAAAATAATTTGTGGTAAAGGGAAATATTGGGTTAGAGAAATGCTGCCATATTCAAATTATTCAATGTATAATTTAAATAATTTAAATAATTCATATTAATGGCCTAACAAAACCAAAAAACACCTGCCTTATTTTATGTTAAGTATTATTATTGTATTTTATTTTTATTATTGTATTTTATATCATTTAAGATTTTAAAAAGAACAACTAAGACAATAGTATTTGAAAAAGAAACATTTTGCAGTGTTCTTTTCTTTTGCAGGAATGCTTGAAGAATTCAGATGATCCCAAAAAGTATTAAGTATTCTTAAAAAAGATATCCAAACAAGAGTACAAGCAAGTTATATAATTAGAAATTATACACACCAACTTATATTAGCTATACTGAGCATCAATAAAATAAACAGACAGAAGTCCTGTGTCAAGTATCAAACAAGAAAACTAATAATCACTTGCCAATACCTGATAATTTAGCCTTTTTAAAATTGTTCTGCAGAAAACCAGTAAGAATTGTACCTAACAGAACAATCCATCAATTAGCTGGAATCCATCAGATGTCCAGGATAAGCCGTCAGGAATGAAAATAATGTGTAATTTGACACCTATGGCAAGGCACTAATTATACTGTTCCTCATTTTCAGATCATGCACCATTTGTTCCAAAGTGAACACTAAGTCTAATGAGTGATTCACCCAGGAATCAAAGTTGAATAAAGGCTGAGATAGAAAGGTAATGGAAAGTGAACTCTGGAACCTGAAATCTTCTCCATGTCACTAGCTCTTATTTTGCATCTATTTACTTCCTCTTCCTCTTTTTCTCCTAGTGCCCATTTTCTCAAATTCACCCCACACAAATCCACTTCTCAGACAGAATTTCTTCCTGCAGCAGTTCATTTGATGGAAAATAATTCAAACTTCATAAACAATATATAAAATAGCCAATAGTCTTGGTTTGACTGTTAATTTGGTCTGTTTTTTCTTAATTTTAAAATTTTTAAGCAGATTGACATTTTAATGTTCCTCATGATAAAGCCTGCACTAAATCATATAGGGAAAATACAGACTGTTTTCAGAAGCTAAAAAAGTGTACACAAACTTGAAGTAGTCAGAAAAACATATAAAATTAAGCCATATGTATTAGTTTCACAATGACTGGAAAAAACAAACAATTTTTCCATAATACATTAGGCTTAGAAATTAGCAGAAATACTTTTATAGTTCCAAAGTTTTTAACACGGTACCCTTTGCGGCAAATGTATGAAGTACCAAGTATTATATTAATTTGCTATTCTTGATAATAAAGATCAAGGCCCAGTAACACTTTATTATTACTAAGCTGTCATGTCCAGGTGCTAAAAAGCTCAGGAGGCAGCACATACAATATTAGAACCCATTAGTCTGAACTGAAATATAATTTCCCTTGGCATATTGGGGAAAAACCAATCTCCCTATCGTTTGGGAAATATATAGGCTAATTAACATGTCAACTTTTGTTGCCCTTTCTACAAGCTAACCTGAATTTAACAATTCAGGCATATAAAATTAGATTAGATTAGATAAACTTTTAACTTTTGAACTGAGAAATTATGCAAGTTCAGAATCCTTTGAAGATGTCTAGACATATACAGGATAATATTAAATAATACAACAGAGGAGTTTTACAATAAAAAATCAATTTCAGGAAAAATGCATCTAGCAAAAATTTATTACAAAGGTGTCTGCACTAGCCATATACAGTGGGTCAAAAAAGTATTTAGTCAACCACCAATTTTGCAAGTTCTCCCACTTAAAAAGATAAGAGAGGCCTGTAATTGACATCATAGGTAGAGCTCAACTATGAGAGACAAAATGAGAAAACAAATCCAGACAATTACATTGTCTGATTTGGAAAGAATTTATTTGCTAATTATGGTGGAAAATAAGTATTTGGTCAATATCAAAAGTTCATCTCAATACTTTGTTATGTATCCTTTGTTGGCAATGACAGAGGTCAAACGTTTTCTGTAAGTTTTCACAAGGTTGGCACACACTGTTGCTGGTATGTTGTCCCATTCCTTCATGCAGATCTCCTCTAGAGCAGTGATGTTTTGTGGCTGTCGCTGGGCAACATGGACTTTCAACTCCCTCCAAAGGTTTTCTATGGGGTTGAGATCTGGAGACTGGCTAGGCCACTCCAGGACCTTGAAATGCTTCTTACGAAGCCACTCCTTCGTTGCCCGGGCGGTGTGTTTGGGATCATTGTCATGCTGAAAGACCCAGCCACATTTCATCTTCAATGCCCTTGCTGATGGAAGGAGGTTTGCACTCAAAATTTCACAATACATGGCCCCATTCATTCTTTCCTGTACACAGATCAGTCGTCCTGGTCCCTTTGCAGAGAAACAGCCCCAAAGCATGAGGTTGCTACCCCCATGCTTCACAGTAGGTATGGTGTTCTTTGGATGCAACTCAGCATTCTCTCTCCTCCAAACACGACGAGTTGTGTTTCTACCAAACAGTTCTACTTTGGTTTCATCTGACCACATGACATTCTTCCAATCCTCTTCTGGGTCATCCAAATGCTCTCTAGCAAACTTCAGACGGGCCCGGACATATATTGGCTTAAGCAGGGGGACACGTCTGGCACTGCAGGATCTGAGTCCCTGGCGGCGTAGTGTGTTATTGATGGTAGCCTTTGTTACGTTGGTCCCAGCTCTCTGCAGGTCATTCACTAGGTCCCCCCGTGTGGTTCTGGGTTTTTTGCTCACCGTTCTTGTGAACATTTTGACCTAACGGGGTGAGATCTTGCGTGGAGCCCCAGATCGAGGGAGATTATCAGTGGTCTTGTATGTCTTCCATTTTCTAATTATTGCTCCCACAGTTGATTTCTTTACACCAAGCTGCTTCCTATTGCAGATTCAGTCTTTCCAGCCTGGTGCAGGTCTACAATTTTGTTTCTGGTGTCCTTCGACAGCTCTTTGGTCTTCACCATAGTGGAGTTTGGAGTGTGACTGTTTGAGGTTGTGGACAGGTGTCTTTTATACTGATAACAAGTTCAAACAGGTGCTATTAATAAAGGTAATGAGTGGAGGACAGAGGAGCCTCTTAAAGAAGTTGTTACAGGTCTGTGAGAGCCAGAAATCTTGCTTGTTTGTTGGTGACCAAATACTTATTTTCCACCATAATTTGCAAATAAATTCTTTCCAAATCAGACAATGTGATTGTCTGGATTTGTTTTCTCATTTTGTCTCTCATAGTTGAGGCTACCTATGATGACAATTACAGGCCTCTCTCATCTTTTTAAGTGGGAGAACTTGAACAATTGGTGGCTGACTAAATACTTTTTTGCCCCACTGTAAAAAACCACCCGTACTAAACCTGAACCAATATTTCCAGTTATAAAAACACCTTAAATCCGGTCAAACACACACCCATATTTCTTTCTTATTTTTTCATGCTTAGTCTGTTACTCACTATCATTTATCATTTTTCCTCTCTTCATTTTTGCTGCTTCAATGTAATAGAAAATTTCATACACAGATATGGAAAACATTAGATCTTAAAAGAGGGAAATTTTCTCCATTTTTTCTTAAAAGAACCTACATTTTTTATTGTAATCTATTGTCAGGATTTTTCATTTTAAACTATTCTCCAAACTATACAGAGAAGAAAAAAATTATGCCATCTATGCTATCAAATATGTTAGATAGTCCATTTCTTTAGCTCAGAAGTCAGCAATGCTATGCCCATAAACACAGGTCTGTTCTTATACATATCTTCAGCCCTCAAGTGACTCAACTTGCCCTGTTTATAATTTTTTAAAAAAATCCTTGCAATGGATTTGTTTCAAAGTGCAACAGTGATTTCTAGTCATATCATCTTACATTTGCACAATGTGTTTGGGAGTAAAGTGGAACTCGTCAAAGCTTTAGAAGAACCAGGGAAAAAATTGTGCTGGAGGCAGGGTGCAGTTTGGGAAAAGATTACAGTGAACTAAGGAAATCTAGGTAGGAGGAAAAGAGAAATATTTCACAGAGGTAGAATATTTGGTTGAGAAATAAAGAAACCATTCTTAAAAACCATATCATATTCTTACCGTACCAGCCAACTATATGTGAGATAAGTTGCAAATCTTGAGATTGCTTGAGTAGTTTTGCTGTTGCCTTTGGGAAAATAGATTTCATACTATCTAGCTAATTGAGTATTTTCAAAAGAAACTACATAAATGGCAATAAGACAAATCCCAAAAATATCCCGGAGTTTTAATTCATGCCGTTCAATCCTGAAGTAAACAGTAGTTTCAAAATCAAAATTTTAAAAATGGATATGTATCATGGGGGGACACAATGGCTCAGTGGTTAAAGATGTTGAGCTTGTCAACTGAAAAGATGACAGCCTGGGTTCAAGACTTGAACACCGCACAACGGGGTGAGCTTCTGTTAATTCCCCAGCATCTGCCCACCTAGCAGTTCGAAAGCATATACCGTATTTTTCAGAGTATAAGACGCTCCAGAGTATAAGACGCACTTTTTTTTTCTTTTAATTTATATGCCGCCCTTCTCCAGAGACTCAGGGCGGCTTACAATGCGTTAAGCAATAGCCTTCATATTTTTGTATATTTATACAAAGTCAGCTTATTGCCCCCACAATCTGGGTCCTCACTTCACCTACCTTTGAAAGGATGGAAGGCTGAGTCAACTTTGAGCCTGGTGAGATTTGAACTTGCAGTAACTTCAAGTAACAGCAGATGTTAATAACAGTGCTTAGTCCACTGTACTACAGGCTCTTTTGGGGGGAGAAAAAAATTAGAAAAAAAAAATTCTGCTTGAGAGGCTCTCTATTTGAGAGGCTGAGTTTGCAGCCTCCAAAACCTCCAAAAGGGTGGGGGTAGGGGGCTGGGCGGGGCTACATTCGGTGTATAATATGCACCCAAATTTTTACCCTTTTAGGGGGGAAAAAAGTGCATCTTATACTCCGAAAAATACGGTAAATGCAAGTAAATAAATAGGTACCACTTTGATGGGAAGGTAACAGCATTTCATGTACATCAATGTATAATCACACTGGCCCATGACCACAGAATGTCTATGGGCAATGCTGGCTTCCTTAGCCAAGAAACCATGCTGGCTCTCTAGAATTGGATACAACTGGACAGCTGAAACCTTTTCATTTACCTTTTTATGTATTATTTCAAGTGAAATAAATCTATGAGACAGTAATTAAAAATTGCCATTCATTATAAATAGACTGTTGAATATGTGGTAAATTTTAATAATCTCAGAAGGATGGAAGACTGACTCAACCTCGAGCCCCATCAGGATGAATTCCAGAGTGTGGGCAGAGTTAGCTTGCAATACTGCATTCTAACCACTGTGCCACCAAGTCTTAATTAGTATCAATATGTTTTAATTGCTATAACTTTTGCTCATTAATAGCAGATATACAATAATACCAATGTAGACAAGAAATAAACATTTCATACAGGATTTTAAGAAGTCTTACCAATTTCTGCAGGGAGTTGTTTGATTTTGTTCTCCCGTATGCTTAGCATGGTGAGATTGGATAAGTTCTTGATATCCTTTTCCACTGAAGTGATACGATTAAAGCGCAGATAAAGTGTAGTAAGGGAAGTTAGCCTATACACCACAGGAGGAATCTCTCTCAATTTGTTATGCCGTAGATCAACCATACGAAGCTGTTTCAAGTTACCAAGGGAGTCCGGAAGGCTGGTGAGTGAGTTCTCACTTAAGGCCAAAGTTTCCAGATTCACAAGACAGCCTACCTCAGCAGGTAGTGACTGTAACTTATTTCCATATAAATAAAGTTCCGTCAACTGGGTTAACTCTTTGATAGATGATGGGAGAAGATGTATAGACCTCTTAGCCAAGTCCAAACGTACTGAATTTTCTTCCCGACATTTGTTTAGCTCTTTGATCACCTCAGCATTACTGGATTTTTTACGGGCACCTGGAGCTGGGTTGGGCCGTTTTATTGTGTTGTCTACTGAAAAAGCCACGCCTGGCTGTGCACTACTAGAGTCCTTTTTCCCATCTTTGGCTTCCTTCCCTTTGGTCTTAGATTCTCTGTCTTTACTTTCTTTCCCAAATCCACCGGAGGCCTTGGCCTCTTTCTCCCTTTCTTTTGCTGAAGACACTTTGGGATCTTTCTCCTTACAATCTTTTTCTTTTCCAAGACTACTACTCATTGTTCCTCAGTTTAATTAATACCACTTGAAATCCAACTTGAATTTTAGTTAACAAAATCCAAAAAAGAAATTAAGAAGATTCATTCACTGTTGATATACAAGGAGGTTTAAAAGACAAAAGTGTGGCCTAGAAGTAACAAGTGTGGTGGCATAGTAATTATCTGCTACATGTTGGATCCAGACAGCTTCAGTATCAGAAAATTTGGCTACTGGTGCTTAGATAGTCAAAAAAATCTTCATTAGAAGTTCTGTAACATAAGGAGAGGAGAGAGACATTAATACACAGATGCTCTCAAAACCCCATGTTGATTTGCTCTGCAAAAAAAAGATATAAAATCACAGTTCGTAACGATTCTTCTTTAATTGTTTATAAGGAATGAAAGATATATTTCCCAAAACTGCACTAATATAAGTTAGGATTGCTATTCTAATTGCATAAAAACCAAAGATCTTAACATAAGTAATCAGCTGACAAGATATTTCAATGAGGCTCCCTGCCTTGCTCTAAACTGGTGTTACGTGATAGAATGCTCTGATATTCTGGAATGTAGCTGTACAACGATCACTTTAAAAGTACCATAAATTGAAAATCTGGAAGATTAATGCAGATTTGGGGCCCCACAATAACTCTTGTAATTAAAAAAAACGCATGGAAAATTTATAAAGATAAAAAAAGAAGTTATTTTAAATATACTCTTGACAATTTAGCATTCCCTAATCCCACTTAGATTTTATCCAGCTCTACAAAAAAAAAGTTAGTTTTATCCAACTCTTCCTTTCTAGCTTTCTATCCCACTGTCCACACAGTTTTCCTATATCCTATCTAGAAATTGTTTCTCAACCTTCACAATTTTAAAATCTGAGAATTTCAATTCCCAGAATTTCCCAACAAGCGATGGGGAATATGTATTTTAAAGGTACCAAGGTTGAGAAACTCTGCTCTAGAAGGTTGGAGCACCAACATGAGTACAGGTAGTCCTTGATTTACAACAGATCATTTAGTGACCATTCAAAGTTACAACAGCACTGAAACAAGTGACTTATGTCCGTTTTTCACTTATCACTGTTGCAACATCTCCATGGTCATGTGATCGATATTCAGATGCTTAGCAATTGGTTCATATTTATGACAGTTGCAGTCCCAGAATCATGTGATCAAAGTTTACAACCTTCTGATGAGCAAAATCAATGGGGAAACCAGATTACTTAAAAACTGGGTTACTAATTTAACAACTGCAGTGATTCACTTAACAAGTTGTGGCATGCAAAGTCGTAAAACTCACTTAACAAATGTCTTACTTAGCAACATAAATTTTGGGCTCAATTGTAGTCGTAAGTCAAGGACTATCTGAATAGCATGAGTTATCTCCATTTCTAGATATACTGAGACAGGGGGACTCTTCCAAAACCAAGCAGAGAGATTATTCACTTACAATTTCTAGCATTCAAACTTAGACACAGAAAACTTTTATTGTGAATTCCAGTTTAAAAGGAATCATAAATATCATTTAAAAACTTGGATCATATGCCATCAATTTATTGTTAGCTTTTGCAAAAAAAAAACTTGCCATTTCCTCCAAAAAGATGTTAATATTGAAATATATTTATTTATCATCTATTTATTTATCTTCCACAACCCAGATAGTGTCTGGACAATCTGCAATAAATTAAAAGAACAAAGTACTAAAAATTATATATAACTAGTGAAGAAAACAACAGAAATCAGCTGCTGAATGCCTTCTGGAATTACATTTGGCTAATTTTCAAAATGCCTGCAGAATGTAGACATTTCATACTTGCAGATGGAGAATAAAACAATCTGCACTGATAAGCCTAGTCTGGGCCTATGAACCTTGCAAGGCTACTGGGATACCTCCAGAATATGCAGGTAGATACTGTTGAAAACAGAATCTGAAGTAGACTTTTTAATTGATCCTGCATTTTTTCCCTTCCTGTTCATAAACAACTTCTTCTGGAAATGTATCTACAAAATGGAACTTGAGAATATTATCTAATTTGCTAGACCCAGGGTCAAATTAATCCAGTTAGAACAGGATGATCAGCTACATTCCATACTATTAGCAATGAGTGCACAGTTGAAAAAGCTGAACAACCAGGAAAAAAATCTATGTGGATGGCACATAATCATCAAATCAAACAGAATCTGGATGCAGAGTCTTCCTTTGCATAAAGATCATTCTGTTATTAGATCAGAAATAATATTTTCCCTTCCCTTCCAAGAAATGAGAATGGGAATAGCATACAGAAGTAAAAAATGGAAAGATAAGAACAGAATATATTCCCATTAGCCTTTTCTTAAAAAATAGGGAATTACAAATGAATTATTCGCAAGATAGCTTCTCCAAAAACTATATAGTCCAAAATTATTTTTTAAAGAAATCTAAGCACTTAAGATGCACTACTCAAACCTCTTTTAATAAATACTAAAGCGAACTGAGAAAAGGGATTCACCAACCTTAATGAATGAGTTACTGTCATATGAAGAATACAATAAATGTATTTTTATGAGGCTATAAATTTTTATAGTTTGTTTTATGAAATCTAGATACTGCACAAAAATTAAAAGTTTAATCTACTTGGTAAAGCATTTAAAGTTAAAATGGTGCATTTCTTGTTAAAAATATTTTAACTCAAATACAATTTCAGCAAGTAATGTATCTGAAAGAGACATGGAAGGAAAACAATAATTATTTTCTATTATTTCAAATCACAAGCAAGGATGTGGATTCTTATATATATGATAAATAGAACTGGATATAATATTTAGTAAGGTCTACACCCAAGCAATGGATAACAAAAGTTAGAAAAGCAGATTAAAAAAGCAGATAATCTATGTCAGGGGTGTCAAACTTAAGGATTGGGGGCTGGATCCGGCCTGCAGAGTGCTTAGATCTGGCCCATGGGGCCGCCCTGGAAACAGTGAAGGACTGGCCCGGGAGCCTGTTTTCTCTGGCAGAGTGCTCCGGCCACTATAGGCACCCCTGACAAGAGTGATGTCGAGATGGCCATGCCCATCCTGACCATGTCCACTCCGGCCCCCGAGGTCAAACACAACCTTGATGCAGGCCCAATGAAATCGAGTTTGACACCCCTGATCTATGTGATCATCTCTGAAAGAGGTTCTTTTGTGAGCTACCATAGAATTGCTTAGATATCATAGTCTTGTGTTCATCTCAAAGCTTTGTAGGGATACATAACACTGTAAGCTTCTATAGTATGAGAAACACCCATCAGAAGTGTAATTCAACTTGAAGAAGATTTGACTTTATTTTTAAAATATAAAGATACGAATAAAAAGATACAAACCAACATTTCTAGAAGACAAAACCGTATTACTAAAATTTAGGCATTAAAAGGTAACACACCCATAGCACATTTTGTGTTTTTAACATAAAATGCAAGATTTTTCCTGGTACCTTTTTTTCTTAAAATATAACAAGTTATTTTTCATCTTCAATAAGCTGGTCAGGTCACTAAATTAATACATACCACACAAGATACTACAGTCCAAATTCTGTTTCTGAATTTGCAATTCCAAATTTAAACTTAATACAAACTTCGGTTTTAGTGAATGTATTACAGGAGGAAGTATATAGTCTGGGTCTAAAAAATTTATTTCCACTTTAGATTTATGAACTAATCTGTGAAGTATTTAGAGCGCAATCCTTTTATTCTGCACTACCTCGTTTCCAGCAATTGGAAACAGTTTGTACACCATCCCATGTGGTTTCTCAGCACGTACCATTTTGACTTCTTTATCACAGTTGTCATGGTAATCTGTGCTGCATTACAATTTTGCATAATCTGTTAAATCTTGAAAGCCATAAATTGCTATGAGTGATGGTCTTATCTACCATCTGATAACACCCACATTACAAAAATGCTAGCACTAGTGACATATTTGTTGATGGAAGGGAGTACATGAAAAGGTTGACTGGAAGCCAAGTTGCACCAATTTGAGTTTTTTTAAAGCAGACACACATTCAAGAATATGATTAGCAAAATGAAAAACTGACTCACACAAAGAGACTTCTTCCTTAACATGCATTTCTAGATTTCTGGATACAGCACAGTTGATTTCATTTTTCTCTTTATTCCAGAGAGATAAATATAAAAAAGGCAATCTAGATCCCAGCAAAGACTTATCCAGCACAATATTCTTTAATTAACTACTTAACACCTAGGTATCTACATTGAGCCCACAAAATAAGGAATGAACACCACAATGAACTCTTGCTTTCTTTTCTACCAAAATGTTACATGAAACATTAGCAAGTTAGGCTTCCAAGTGATCTTTAAAGGCATCACCATGTGGATTGTGTTGCAATAATCCAGGTGGCTAATTATAAATAAAGATATGAATCACTGGAGCAAAGTTGTCTCATCCCAGGTGGAGTTGCAACTGGCACCCTAGTTGAGGCAAAGACAAAGGTCCCTCTGCCCACAGCTTCTGCCAACTTTTTCAAGAAGACCCTGGAGTCATGGACTTCCTGTTTCAGGGATAATGCATACCTATCCAAAGATACCATTGGAGCCACCAAGAAACTCTAAAATGAACAAACAGTAATTCTTTCTTGCTAGAATTGTATTTTAGCCTGTTCTCTCCAATCCACACTCTCAGCATCCAGGCACAAGGGCACGGCCACAACGCCACCAGTTTGGCCCAGATTAATAATTTATCAAGTAGCAAACTGATGGAACCAAACCCTGAACCATTTTCAGTGGCTTCATGTCAGTAGTGAAACTGAGCCGGTTCTATCTGGCTCGGGTGAACCGGTAGCGTCGGCAGGAGGTTCCGCCCACCCACCTGGATGTCATCATGTTTTTGATCCTCTGTGCATGCGCCGAAGTCCTGTGCATGCACAGAGGTGTCACACGCAAGCGAGCGCTTACATTTGCAAACTGGTAGCTAAGGTAAGTAAATTTCACCCGATTCATGTATATGTTAAACAGGAGGAAAGGAAGACTGCCTCTTCTTGCATCCACAAGGAAGTAGCCTCCAAGCCAACTTCTCCTCTCCTACTCCCATTGATGGGAACTTTCCACTGAGGAAGAAGCAAAGTCATTGCAGAAAGTGCCTTTAATCTCCAATCCCAAGTGGGTCTAAAACGTTACCATGAGCAATGCTTCTAAAGGCCACATTTTAATATGTTTTAGTGTCTAAAAGAAATAGGATAGGTGCACTTCTCCCATCCAAGTCTACAAAGGTTATCCACTGTGCAACCAA